GCAGGACTTATAGCCCCACATTTCAGTCCTTCTACTGCTGGCTTTGCAGACACCACTGCTAGTCTAACCACTTACTGTGTCTGACAAATGTGTTACAAGCATTCAGTGAATACTTTTGTAACAACATATATCTTATTGTGCATGTATTCATTTTCACTGGAGGTGTCAGACTTTTTAAAAATAGTTTCAACTTAAAGTTTGTCTATGGGAGGTAAGCAGCTGACACTCAATATCCTAATGACACATTAGACAGCAAGCAGGTTTTGAATTTCATGGCAGAACGTAGCTTTTTTGTCTGCACCTGTTCTGAAACTGTGTGAGCAATCAAAGCTCATTCAAACATCCTTTTGATATATGAGTTGGCTCAGAGGACTTGGGAGTTGGTTCCCACGGGCAGAGTGAAGCACCTTTGAGCCCTAATGATGTAAACTGGTAGAAAAGAGTACAGTCTGCAGTGGCGTCAAGATTTAATTGCTCTTTCAATGAGACTGCATGTAAATCCGTTCTTCTGCTCCAGGACTTAATGAGAGAGCTATACCAACAAGCTGCAGTCAACTCACCTCTTCATATGTTATGGTGATAACATCACCATAACATCACCATGTTCACTCATCACATCACCAAAAACTCTGTTTTTCTCTGAATCGCCCTCCCTCTCTCTTTCTTATACACACAAAGACACATATACACATAAGCTGGCAGCCACACTTTAGTTCACACTGAGCGCACACCTTAATACAAGTTCGAATGGTTATTTATTTTCAAATTCTGGCCTTAGTCATAGAAACACATCATTTGTTGAGGGAAAGTGGAACACAAAAGACTTTCAACTAATAAATGGGCCAAATGGAATCAATCAGGTCATGCATGGTTTGGTTTGCAAGTCATAATTCTCTATACTGTAGCATTTGCGCTGGGTAATTGCAATTTGACAACTTATGATAGGTGTGAGACATGAGAGAGGGACAATGTTGTGTTTTTTTGTCATTGATCATTATTAATCCTCGAGTCATAGTTTTTACAGTTTTTACCACCTTTACAGTAGTTTAATTACAGTTTGGCAGACCCTTAAAAATGGCTTTTCTGGTCAAGCATTTGCTATTATGTTTGTGTTTCCATCTATTTGGAATAGCAGGTTGGTGAGAGCCACAAAGCACTTCATATTGTGTCAGGACGTTATCTTTCATAATAACAAGAAATGTACTAATTGCCTCTGAAATACTTTTGCAATTATCTGCTATTTGATTCACTTTCATATTTGAATTTGTAAACTCGAATCAAGTTGCACTTAAGAGTGCAGGATTTTTATTTGAAGTACTAAAAGGGACATAATAATTTGAGGGCCAAATTATTTTTTGATTTAAGTTATCAAATGTAAAGGAGGGCGACCTAGAAAAAAGGATTTGTGATGATCTTTTGTCCAGGTAGTTATCGTCAGTTTAAATGGAATACTAGAAATGGCAAATGGTATTGAAATATAATTAAAAAGAATGGAACATTGCAATGATCTGTTCTGCAGTGAACAGTAAAAGGATGGAGCCATGTATTAGGTTGGATTCTTTTTTAGCAAACAAAAACTGGATCCTGTATGTATGCATCAACATGCCACAAATCTTTAACTACACACCTACACAATACAGCTGTCTCTGGCAGGAGTTTTTCCTTATCTCAACTGAGGGTCTAAGGATAGAGAGTGTCTGTCGTATGTTGTTCAGTCTCGAAATCCCTCTGAGACAAATAAGTGATTTGTGCTGAATAAATGAAATGTACTTTCCTTGTTGAAAATGTTCTTTTTCACTCTTTCTTGGGATATTGTTATTTTAGAGTTATTCCACTTCTTCATACTCCTTTTTTCTATCATTTACATACATTTCATACATAGCTTAATGTTAATGTACAATTCTAAGTGGGTTTTGTTTTATTTTATTTTAATTCTAAGCTCATGCATATACTGCATGTTTTTTTCTTTCAAAGGAAAACTATTCAACTTTTTCTATACACTGTAAACCACAGTGATGACACTGTATTAATAGGAATAAGAGGCTCTACACTGCTACAAGAAGCAATACAGTTTCATGTATAGTCTAAAAAATAAACAAAGTTTAATTGGGGTTTAATGGGGAATGACTTTGAACAGCTTTTTTAAATCAAATTGATTGACAGGACACTCTATGCACCGTTATTGTTTTATGTCGTGTACCTTTATCTTGCACCCATCATCACCTGAGTGACTGCCGGTGGCTTATGTTTGAAGCCAGCAGCTAACATAATTGAGCGTCGCTGTAACTGGTGGTTGGTAGCCCATGATCCAAAGCCACTGAAGCAATTTTCTTGTCTCCTTGTGATCATATTATCAGTGAATGAAATTTCATTATGTTTTGATCTGATCACTCGGAGAAGGACCAAATTAGAAACAAAGCATCCCCGATCATTTATCCCTCAGAACGTCAAGCCTTTTCAGCAGAGCTGTTAACACTGAAGTGTTTTCCTGTCTCAGCTCTCTGCAGATTGGTATGAACCCTCTCCATCTGACGATGTACTGTCAAAATACAGTCACTTTACTGATGTGCTTTGTGGATTTACACTCGAGAATTTATCACCTGACTAGCTAGCTTTGCATTATTCATGGAGCAGGGAGAGAGAGACTGCAATCTGAATGCAGACAACGTTGTATTCACACTCAGAGCCATATGACAGCGCTGTCTTCACAATGCCCTTGTTAAAACTCCGCTTTGGGTAACAGGAGGCAAAGACAACCCGTAGCCTCATTACAGTCCTTGCTGCATTTGTTGAACACTAACAGTGGAGAAAACTCTGAACTGTCATTTTAATGCCCTTTGCAAGAGTTTCTTATTCATTTACAACAAGTAAAGTCAGCAACATGAAACTTCAGCTGAATACCCTTTGGGTCAGTGAAAACATGTTCCATTGCAATAAATAATAGTAATATTTGCACAATGACCTCCAAAATAGATTTTTGTTGAGTCAAAATATTTCCACTTAGTACACTATGTATCCTGTGTACTGTATTCAGTAAGTTAGAGCTCAAAAAGTGGGTTAAATGTTGATAAAAATGCTCAGGACAGCATTTATGTCAAAAACAAACAAAAAATCTGAGTGCACATTATCAGTATGTACAAACACCTACAAATAGCTATCCTCAAAATGAAAAAGATCAAAACGTACATCAAGAAAGGGACGTGAGGATAAACACACATCAATAAGCAATACAGCAAACGCAGCAGGCCACAGGAAATGTTATTTTGTTTTCATAGAAATATTTGTAACCTGAGCAGAGGTCTAATCAACCAGAATAACTGAAAACACCTGTGTGCTGTGTGTGTGCAGGGCATTCAAACAAAACAAATCCTCTCCACAGGTGTGGTAACTTACTGCAGTGAACGCTCCTTCTCCTCTTTGGAAGTTAAGTGTTGCTCAGGTGTATGTAAAGCTGGCCCCTCATTCCCATTTGACTCTTCATGTGTTGTGTTTGGGTCCGCCCCAACACAATTATTGATGATAATATACAATCATCAATAAAATCAAAAGCATGTTTTGTCTTAAGATATGAAATCTGCAGTGGTGATATTCTGGGCTAATTAATCCTTTCAGTGTTTTCAGAAACACATTATCTCGTCACATACCTTATACATTTTATAATTCACACATAATATTATTTGGTAATCTGTAGTCTCTCTGATTTTATAATCGATTATCACATGCGTTTTACCTGGATTTGAATGCCCCCACTTAATGCCCCTATGTATAGAATATTTATGAGACAAGCTTCTTTCAGAATATTCTACCGGCATAAATTTGAAATTGTAGAAACATTAGATGTGTAATTCCATCCACACTTCTGTAAGCTGTGTTGTAAAGTGGGTGAATGTGTTTATTCATTTGCTTGTTTTATTTCTTCACTGCAAGTCTGTCAGCCACTGTATATTTAAAGGTCCAGTGTATAACATTTAGGGTGATCTATTGGCAGTTTGAGTATAATATGCATAACTATGTTTTGAAGTGTATAATCACTTGGAAATAATAATTATATATATAAAGTATTTTTGTTACCTTAGAATGAGCTTTTACATCTACAGATGACCATAGTTTTTCCTTATAGTTTGGAATGAAAGGATGAAGTGAGGGAGTTGCAATGTGCAATTACACCACTAGATTCCACTTAATCTTACACACACACACACATAGTTGGTATTATCTATGTAGTGCAAAGAGGTTAAATCTAATTTATAATATAATTTTTAGAGGCTTTTAGAGTACAATATAATTTGTGATGCTAATTCTTCCTGTGTACAATATACATGTCATGCTCTGATCTTCATCAACAGCGCACTGAGAAACAGATTATAATCACATCATGTATAAATTAAAGCTAACAGACAAGACAAGTCATCAAGTTTTATCAGCAGTGACAGTCTGTGTAACGAGTGGATGCAGAACTTATCTTGTCTGAATAACTGACTTGTTATACCTTTCCAGGCTTCCCAGGGGATTCAAAGCTTTAGACCTGTATAAATCAATGAAGTATCATCAGTCTAGAGCAGTCTTGTTAAAATATAATTGGCTATTCTTGTAAGCTTTATTCATACACTGGCTCTTACTGTACCACCACAGTATAACTGCCCTCCCAGAGTGCCTGACATACTAACCTTTTCATAGTTGTCTCTAAATGGCAAAAGATCAAAAATAGAAAGAGTCACTGACAAATCTACCCCTGGGTCTGATTTATATATTCTTGTACCAAATAGGTGCCTGTAACCAATAAATCTATCTTAGACCATGATACAGTATATCCAGAACAGTCAAGACTTGGGATGTAAAATGTCTCTTTAAAATAGAACCAATTGTCTAAGTGTTGTATTTAATTACAAGGAAACTACTACAAACCCATTTAACTGTAACTGAAAATAAAAGTGATAGACCCAGTGGACCAGTATTGTTTGTAATGAATAATTGTCAAGGACCCACCTTAGGGAAATATGGACGTTAATGGTTTTACCAATACCCAGTTTATTATAGCAAACAATTTTTGATGCTTTGCTTCTTTTTCTGACAGCACTTTGTAAATGTTGTGACAGGTTCTATTGCTTGACTGTTAGAATTATATTGGTGTCCAAGTCATTTCCAAACCAAGACTGAAAGTGGGTCTAGGATGACTTGAGTCCTGGACCAGACCATGTGGAACAAGACCAAAGCTAAGGCCTAACAAAACAGTCAATAAAAGTTGGTTTTCTTTTGTATTGTAAATGCAAAAGACAGCCCATAAAGAATGGCTTAAGAATCGGTGAAAATGTAAATGTGCTGTATTAGCAAACATGCTAATTCATACTCTTGAGAAGCCAATTAATCAATGCTTAGGAGTGAACTTAACACAGAGGCACCGTCAGAGTTGTGCAGATGCAAATACCATAAATTGTTTGTTGTCTAATTCTAATCATCAACACTATTATCATAATAAATAGAAGTAATGGAGGATACATTTGAATAACAGTAAAGACAGAGAGTTCTGTGTCTGGTCTATATCATTTGAAAAAGACAAGCTGACTACTGTTTCAAGAACACCCATAGTTACTGTTTCAAGAACACCCATAGTTCCAGTCAGGCTAAGAGAAGATCAGCAGATTGTTCTTTTCTATTGTTGGATCATTATGACAGCTGTGGTCCCAGGCTGTTCGTGGCAAGGCTGACTGACAGGCTGAGCACCATGGAGCTGACAGGCTTAGCACGTCCATTGGCAGATACAGATGTCACATGCACCACAGGTCCATCTTGCAGCTCGGAATGGAGAACAGGACGGTCATCACCAGAGGGCTGAGGGAGACACAGGGCAGCCTCACAAAAAATGATACAGACCTCTCAGTGACTTGAAAGGCAGAACACTCTTCCCTTTTCTGAATCACCAAATGTGTCATAATTCAACCAAAACACACATAGTTTTAACTCGTCTTTTGGCATGATGCTGAAATTTTCAAAATTTTTTCATATGTTGCATGCAAAACAAGCCCACACCTGTTTGTTTTTATGTAGCGTCATGCTGTAACAATCTGTCATGCCAAACACGTGTCACTGCTGGAAATGTATAGAGTTGTCGATTAAATTTCAAGAATGGGCCACCAATTATCGAGCATGTAATGGAGAAGTTGTAAAAGCTGTTTCAGTGTAGCTGACTCGTGCGACCTAATTAGATGTGACAAAGTTCAGCATCTCTTGGGGGTAGGATTAAGAACACATTGTGGAATGCGGACCGTTTGGACAAAATCGATTATGACACTAATCCTTGATGAATAATGAATATGGTCATTTACCAAGAACGCTGCAGGGGGAAGTCCATTGTGTGATGATAAAACGATGCTTGGAGGTAAGCTGGAATGAACCATTTACTAATACTTGGTGGTAATGATAGAGACCTTCTCTATGATGATAATGTGCAGTGCCCTGAGGCAGCTGCTTAAGACCTTTTCAACCCACGGGTGAAAAGGCCAATCCAGAAAACCCATTTAACTAATACAGTTGAATCTGTGAAATACTCAGTGACACAGGTATGTTACCCGTTCCTCTGGGAGGATATAAACTCACTTCCCTCAAGCTGTGGTGCTTAAATAATTTAACACATAAAAGACTACGTGAGGGATGTGTTGACTGAAAATCAATTGGATGTCCACAGCCTCATATGTCTCTTTCGCAGCGTTGGCACCAGCACTTCTTTAAAAGGTGCAATAGGTTTTCCCTGCAGGGGTTATACTCAGAAAGTACTTCAGGAATCCAGTGCATAACAACGGCATACTTCCCACAAAATTTTAAAACATTTCAGAGACACCATGGCATCACTGAAGCTAGATATGCCTTTCTAGAACACCAATCATTAAAATTTGATCCTTGAGTGTGAAAAATAGAGGTAACAAAGCCACTACTGTGTGCCTAACCATGATCCAACCGTGAATGTTTCAAGAATTTATATTTCACAAAGTGAGCCCTAAACTTTTGTTTTGTACAATGTTTGGTAATCCTGTAGGATTGTAATTATGGAATAGAAATTCATTTGAGAACAATGCTATTTTGGAACTTTACAATCCCTTTAGACACTACAACAGGCTCATTATAATCCTAAAAGTCATAGAGGCTTTGCAGTTGGGACACAAAACTCCAAGCAAAACAGAAAGAAGTAGCCACACATGACTCTGACAGTGATGAGGCACAGTCTTTCTTTCTGATGAAGATGAGTTGTGTGTCCTAGCAAATAGATAAAAATATTCTCAGAATTACACATACGAATATTTCTGTCTCTGTCTAAATTCCAAGCCTATGTACCTTTCAATAATACTTGTTACTAGATTACTTTGATTAGTATTATTATGTACTGCAGGCAGGAATACAGGTCTAGTGACATGGTTATTAAGGTTGTTATTTATTCCTTAATTGGAAGTATTTGAAAGAAATACTCAAAGGAAAAGATGAGTTTTACTTCAATAAATAGGGGGTGTTGAGAAAAAATAGACCACAATATGTTATATCTTCACAAAATCCATTGTGAATGTGCATGTGTGTTTGTAAATGTACAAAGGATGGAAAACTCATGTCCTAGTTTCAGGCTTAAAATCCGATCATCCTTGCTTTGCCACAAAATTTTGCCACCTGAAAAGCATTTAGAGACCAGTTGGTAGAATACTTTGTGTTGGGGTATTAAACCAATAATCAGACTTTCTTTATTCCATGTCTGAGAAATTGACATGGAATAATGACACAAAATATAGGCCCCGTTGTGTTGCCCCCCCCTCCACACTCAACCAGAAGATCAGACAGCAGCTTTGGCTAGATCACTCAATTTGTAATAGCGCCAGAGCTGAACTTCTGATTTATGAACAGTCAAGGGTCTACAAGAGGCCATTAACTATAGGGAACATGGAGGAGTGAGATGTATGTAAATGAATTTAAAATCCAAGATTATAACTCTCCGTAATTTCTAGGTTCTCTGTCAAGATGGTTTTGCTGCTATTAGAAATATTCAAGGCTTGAAAGAACCCAAATTGCAGGGCATATTGCACATGGATTATTTTGTATGAAATCTATAATGTGACCTACATGCAATACAGTCATTGTGTATTGATGGTAACAGCATAAATTAAAACAGTCATTTCTGCAGCATCCAGTATGTTAATGTACTGTATGTGCACTGATTATATGGGAGCGTTTTTCAGAGGGGGGAGAATACAAAGCAGGCTTATGCATGTGTATTTGTGTGCAATACAGTCTGTGAGTGTTTATGAAATACTGCCAGGCTCAACTTCAGTTTGTTGATTTTGATTCAATTCCATGAGTTTGGACAGAGACATTTCACAGAGCATAATTCTGTTTTGCAAAGACACCAAAACTCAGCGAGGCATACTTTCAGGGCCTTGGAAGTTCCACAACGTCAAAGCGCTGATCCAAGCATTTCCATCTCAACAATGGTTGTAGTAATTTAAATGATTTGACAGGTACATCCTCTCTCTTGACAGAGGCAGGCTATTACAAAGAGTCTGTGATTCACATATGGGCTGAGTTAAGACAGCTTTAACAGGTACACACAATCCTTCAGGTTTATTCCCCTGAATCTGCAATTGAAGCCACAATGTAAAATCAGTGCATGTGAAAGGACACACAGACTGTACAACAGATGCTCAAACAAATATGCCACTTCCTGGTTCAGCCAGCTGCTTAATGAAAAATACCATGTTGGCCTTAGGATTCTCATAGCATACTGCAGTTGTCAGTTGAAAATCTGGCATCTCGAATATATAAGATTGTGGAAAAATATTGTAGTAAATGCTAACACCACCAGAATGCACTGTCGCTTTTGTGTTACCCTTGATTGCAAGATCGGGAACAGCATAGAGGTAGACAGAGAAACGGGAAACCATATTGTTTCCTGCAACAGTGATGCTCACAGTGGCTGTCGATGGAACGTGGGATAAATAACTCAATATAAAATGTGGGCTTTTGCCCAAAATGAAATATATTGAAACATGCCTACTAATCTGAAACCCTGTTGCAATGGAGGTTAACTTTTAGCTACCCTTACAGCATTGACTCTAGTGGTGGCAATGTTCCCATGAACTTTCATATACATGGCAACATTACATAAAATGCTAAAACATTAATCATACTACAGTGAAAACTGCACCAAAAGAAGATGACCCCTTTACAACTGAGTGACAGGCATGTCTAATCTATGATCTAAGCAGTGTAAGGCGGTTGGAAAGCTACCAAATACTCAAGAACACAAGTGATACAAGGGTGCAGGTGTCCTTTTGTGTCAGTACATATTTCAAGGGAGTGCAAAAAACAACAAGTTAGAAGGCCACCTGTGGTTTGCCTTTTGAGGTGAGACAGGCTCTTCAGCATGTTTCTCAAGGTAAGGCTAACCCTGTATTGGATACTGGGAGCCAGGATAGCACCGTCTCCAAGTTATTCTTCTGGCAACAGCAATAAAGGCATAATATATACAGCCGGATGGGTCTAACTAACTACAGCCAACTCACTGACAGGCCCAATTGTTTATGTTGCACTACACTAACTGGACTACTATATGCTGATATTAGCTAGATTATTATTAGTAGACAAGGATCAAGACCAGGATAACCATGGTCAGAAAAAATGGAATAGTTCCAGAGATGATGTATGGAGTGGGAGCCAGCATAACAGGCTCCGGAGAATGATGACAAGCTAGCACAACCTTTCCCATTGCTACCTGTACGAATACATTAACAGATGCAGTAAGTTGGTTGTTGAGAGTTTGATATAACACTTGTTGGAGAGTTACCCTCAGCTTGGAGAGAACCTTTTCAGCAAAAGCTAATATATGAAGTCGTAGAAATGATTTTTGATGTATATGCCATCAGCTTCAGTTGCTTCAGTGTACACTGGATGCCTAAAGAAACCCTTAGTCGAAGCCAAAAAGCACAACCCTGTGGTCTCCTTATGGTGCCCAGGCTGGTGGAATCCAACCAACCAAGTGGTGATGTGCTTAGCCAGATGAGTTTAACAGATTGCATAATTAGCTTTACTGGCCAAGCATGCATACACATACAACACATTTGATCCTTGTTTTAAGTTACTCTCATTGTGTACTTAAACACAGTTCCAAAATTAATTTACAGGAAGGTAGAGATAAACATGTAGCCAAAAAACAAGGACAACTATAAAGGTACTCAGAGAAAGCAGTTCTCTGTCAAGGCCACTAGTCCAGTCTTCTATGACATGCAAATCTGCACACCATTTACTTTATTTGCATTTGCGTTTAAGTTTGCGTAGGTCACTTGCCTGATTGCTTATTTATTACATACCTGCTGCATTTGTTTCTACAGTTATGTTTCAGGTGGCTGTTGGTTTTGTTGTGTTTATTCACAGCACACCATTCACTTTAACTATGATGAGTTTGTGCATGCACAACATGGTCAGTTCATTTAGCCATAGGAAAGTGAAAAATATTGTGTGTATCTGTTTCGTGATTTGGGTCTTCTCTTTGGACGATGATACACCCTTCTGGCCATTTTCATGAAAATCTGACTGGTTGACAATGACTCAGTCACTCATTCAGCCGTACTGACCTACACCTCCCACAGAGTACAAAGAGGTTAGCACCATGTCTCAAGAAGAGGTTTGTCATCAAAGAGGATGAGTGCACATGTCAAGGCCTGATGAGACAGACAGTAGCTTAAGGCTAAATGGAGACACCTTGTTTGGCCTCAAATATTGTTGTAGAGTTGAGAAGACAGGGTTGAAGTTCAAGGTAGAGAAATACCATTTGCTCTTGTCTAGAATATGTCTCCTTTGTCCTAAACTCAGTTAAGGGC